TCTTGACAAGAGTCTGTGTGGGAGAGAGAGGAGTGGCATTGGAGAAATAATGATTGGGACTGGTCCACTGTGTTCTTGATGCACGTTTGCCCAGAACCCTAACTTCACTCATTTTTTTCTGCCCATTTCAAACGTGATCTGACTTAAACAAATTCTGAGCTGTCTCCCATTTAGGCTCATTGGGATGTCTTCCCAGCTACTTGTAACCCTTTCTGGATTTGCCTCTCTTCAAGATAAACAGATCAAATTCGTAGCTTCAGTATACATTGTAGAAAACAAGAAGTGTGTCTGTGACAACTGCTCACAGAACTGGTGCTGCGTCACCATTACCTGGCCCAGAAGTATTTCAGGGAACAGTTTAGAATACTTACAAATTCCAAGATAATCTTTGGAAGAGAAGAACCCCTAATGTAGATCTGAGCAGAGATCTCAGCATAGGTAGCGAAGAGTACCAAAGAATAAGCAGATGCTCAGAGACCATGGCTGAGTAAGCAAGTAATTGTTTAGAATACTGTCAGAATTGGTAAAAATGAAGAGGCCTTGCAGCTCCTAAAGGAAATACTTGTCCTTTCCATTGAGTACACGCCACATAAAGCTGCCAAAATAGGAGACTTGAGCACCTTCTGTCTTGAGGAATCAACCTGCAACAGACACAGACACAGACAAAACAAAACATCTTTCTCATTCTTATCACAGGAATTTTATATCCAGTAAAAGAAATCCTAAATTTCTTTTCAAATGTATTGATTGCTCTGTCTTATTACAATGTTTCCTGTCACAGTTTAGGTTTAGTTTTTTCATACTGTGGCCTCAGAAGTAAGAAATGATTGTCATACTAATTATGAACAAAAATTTTAATTCATGGCACAGAAAACTAACTTGTATAATGTAAGAACTATCCTATAAACCAGTACAGAAAAAGGAGAGAAGTTATAGGAAACATAAATAATTCTAAAATAAATTTAAAAAGAGATGCTCAGTTCCTGGGAGAAATTAAAATTGAAAATACCAGGAACAGTTTTCACTCATGGATTGGCAAAAATCCAGAAGTTGGTTGAACATTGTTTGATGCACATGGACTACAGTCTTCTGCATTGTGTTGTGTCTAGAAGTGTAAATAAATTGGCACAGCCTCTACAGAGGGCACATTAGGTGTTTCTGTCAAAATATCAATTGAATCTAACCTTGAAACACTTAATTTTACTAATTTATCCTACAAGTACACTTTCATTTATGAGACATAATGTATACATGGTGCCATAGTTCTTTGTAAGTATAAAAAAACTGCAAATCTGTCACATGGTGCCATAGTTCTTTGTAAGTATAAAAAAACTGCAAATCTGTCACGGTTTAAACCCACATAGGGGACACTATGCTGCCATAAAAATACGAGTTCCTTATGAACTAATGTGGAAAAATCTGATGTGCTGCTAAATTAAGAAGTACAAGGTAAGAAGTGTGTGTAGAATGCTAACGTTGTATGGGAAGGGCTGGTCCAGCAGGTTACAGGGCTTCAAGAGTACGTAAGAAGCTTACCATCCTCATGAAAGGCTGTTGATTTAAAGGAGTCTTTCAGCAGGTGCCTGCCCTCTGTGTTTACTTGTAAGAGACTTAGCTTCTAATCCTAACTCTGGTTTAACTTGGCAGAAAATTTCATACCATTGAGTAGTCATTTAGTGTAACTCCTCTTGTTTGAACTTTTTTTTAAAATGTCAATCTGATTTTTGTTATTACCTTTGTGTGCTAGTGTGTGTCCAGTAAAGATGCCTATTTTGAGAACACAAGTAAAACATAAACTAAAACTCATATTTTTATTACTTCTTGTATGTTTCAGGGACAGACGTGTGCTTCAGCCTGCCCAGGTCTGTGACATTTTGAAGGGTGTAATTTTGGTAGTCTGCTATTTCATGATGCATTATGTCGACTACTCCATGATGTACCACCTGATAAGGGGGCAGTCTGTCATCAAGCTCTATATCATCTACAACATGCTGGAGGTAAGGCTCTCGTTACCCTGCGTGATTAGTCTGGCCCTGCCACCGCAAACACTAGGGTGGGCCCATGCTCCCAACTTCAAGTCTTCTCATGGAGAAGGTACTTGAGATCAAGACTGTTTTCCCAGTGATTCTAGCGAAGACGCTTCTGGCCTTTAATGTGCATTCAGTCATTCAGGGATCCTGTCAAAATGCAGACTCTGATTTAGTGGGGCTGGAGAACATGTATTTCTAATGAGGGTGTGCCAGGCTACTGGTCCTGGGAGACACTTACGGGAGGTCTTTGGAGGGAGGTGTTTTTGCCAGTATGCAGGAAAGATTCCTGCTGCTTACTTGTTTGTTTCTGAGTCAGAACCCCTTAGAGATTTTTTATTGTCAAAAGCTAGGGAAATTTGTGTTGCAAATTCATTGAAAACCCAAAAATTTTAGAAATTATGAACTTAGGGACTGGAGGGTGGCTCAAGTAGTAGTATGCCTGCTTTATAAGTATGAAGCCCTGAGTTCAAACCCCAGCTCTACCCAAAAAAAAAAAAAAAACTATTATAACAAACATAAATAAAAGCATGTATTTCATAACTTTTATATATATGCATATATTTTTTGGTGGGTCTGGGGTTTGAACTCACAGTCTCACACTTATGAGGCAGGTGCACTGTTGCTTGAACCACTCCACCAGCCCTATATACAGAATCCTAATAAATATTTTAAATATAGAACACTACCCCTGGTTTTCTTAATGCACTTTGAAATTCAAGTTGCATTTTCCTGTATCTTTTTTTTTGGTCCTAGAGATCAAACTTGGAGCTTTGCCACCTGTATTCTTTTTTAGGGAAATGTATAAGTCGATCTTTTAAATTATCCATGAAATTTTTTCCCTAGTGAGTGGACAGGTGGGTTGATGAGGGGCAGTGGGTCTTTCTGCCACCTTGTGATAGACAGGGACTTCCTGTCTTTCCACAGGGACCATGGAACTCTAGTTAACCTAGTTACTTCCAAATTCAAGACCAAGCTGCCTTATAACCGCATTGCAACTTTCTGGTTTTAGGTTTATTACTTATATACTTGTTTTGCCCCATCAAGTGGGTGGGTGTGAATGAAGTTTGTCAAGCACAGCAGTCCAACTGCTTTTCCCTTCCCTATCACAGAAAGAAAAGCCTATGCCTTCTTTTTGCGGTCATACTGTTCTCCTACCTGCTAATCTCCTTTACCGCTTTCCCTGCTAGGGGACAGCAAAGCACAAGGACGGCTGACTGCCACCAAACTTAACATGTGCGTCCCCCAACTCTCAATTCCTCTCCAAGATAGTTGTTGTTACTAGAAAATAGGCCAAGGAAAAGGATCTTGAATTTCCAGTTAAAACAGTTTAAATAGTTAACTTTGTAGCCCATAACTGATGATGTGGCTTAGCACTACAGATGGGAGTCCACACTGCAGTTGTAGAGAAAAACTACCTCCCATCAAGTCCCAGCTCCTTCTCTTACTGTCTTGTTGTCCTGGTCACGGTTGCTCATTGCCAATGATCTCTAATCCTCAATTCTTCATCTGTAGGGATATGAGAGGGCATATGAGAATTGAATGAGATGACTCGAAGGGCTTAGCACAATGTCAGCCATGTGCTGAGAGCTCCCATTCCCAAATGGGCAGCTATCACTCCTTCAGCAAATATTTAATCAGCACTTCCTATATGCTAAGGACTGTCTTTTTTTTTTTTTTTGAGATCAGGGTTTAAACTCAGGGCTTTGCAATTGCAAAGCAGGCACTCCACTACTCTTGAGCCACACCTCCAGTTCTCCAGTTCATTTTGCTCAGGTTATTTTGGATATAGGGTTTTGCAAACTGTTTTCCCAGGCTGGCCTTGAACCTGGATCCTCCCGATGAGTCTCAGTCTCCCAAGTAGGTAGGGTTATAGGTGGGAGCCACCGGCACCCTGCTCAGCTACTGTCTTAGATATTGAAGATCCAGAGGCAAATGAGCCTGTTCTCATGGAATTATATTCTATAGTGGGAGATAGCAAATAAGCAAGGAGATGTTAGGGAGTGATAGACTGATGAAAAGGGGCAGGCTAATGTAATAGAGACCATGGGGCCATGAGAAGAAGGATGGTCTGGGAGGGGGAGGGGCTCTCCTAGAAGGTGCCATTCAACTGACTCCTGAGTGATAGGATGTCCTCCTTTTCTCTTTCTTGTGTGCCTCTCAGGTAGACTAAATTCAAAGGGATCAGTACCTAAAAATATTTGTAGGAAGTAAATCTACATATTCCTCATAATTGTAGTAACTTTCAAACGAAATATGCCTATATTATTTATAAATATTAGATATTTATAGAATAAGTCAAATATTGTATTTAAGTTTGAATCCTTGAGTTTAAAGAGTAAACAATAGGAACATGATTTTGATGTGCCTCTACTCTTTAATTTTTGCCACCATATAAAACTTTCCTTGTTACCAGCAGCTAATTGTGCAAACTCTAATTCAAATTCTACAAATATTTGAGTACTCATGGTGTGCCAGAGAATAAAGAAAAATGAGTGAATAAGTAAACAAAGTTCCCTTCTCTTCTTCACCTCACCTGCTAGAATTTTTAAGATCAAGTTTCCAGTATTGAAGTTGTATCTGAGTTTTAATAAAATATTTAAATAAACTGTTAAGAAATAGCTTTCCAATATTTCTCTTTGCAGGTTGCTGATCGTCTGTTTTCATCATTTGGACAAGACATATTAGATGCTCTCTACTGGACAGCAACAGAGCCTAAAGAAAGAAAAAGAGCCCACATTGGAGTAATACCACACTTTTTCATGGCCGTTCTCTATGTCTGTATCCTTTTAGACTTGAGGTCCCAGCAGTCATAGAGTATTGTACCTTATTTGGTTATCTGTTTCACAGATTTAAAGATGTGCATATATGTGTAAACTGAAAACTAATGTCAAATATCTTCTTTTTTATGAGAAACTGTTCATATTAGTAATTATATAAATGAGTTTAAAGAGCTTGGTGCCTGCAGGACTCTTTGTTCTTAATGTTACTGATTTCAAGGAAGGGCTCTGTAATGAGAAGGTAGTGTATTTATAGTTTATGTTTGTAGAGCTGTATGACTTCTTCATATGTTTTTCTTTAAGTCTATGAATTCTTTGGTAACATTTTGAAGATCCTGTTGTTTGTTTGTCCACATGCACATATATACACATACACACATAATATTGCTTGTATTTGTATTAGGCCAATATTCCACATGTGAGAGAAAACATGCAGCCTTTGGTTTTCTAAACCTGGCTAACTTCACTTAAGATGATGTTCTCTAGTTCCATCCATTTACCTGAAAATGACAAAATTTCCTTCTTCTTTGTGGCTGAATAAAAGTCCACTGTGTGTAAATACCACATTTTCTTAATCCATTCATCAGTTCTGGAGCATCTTGGCTATTTCCATAGCTAAGCTAAGCTAAGCTATTATGAATAATGCTGCAGTAAACATGGGTGTGCGGGTGCCTTTGTTGTAACCTGACTTATATTCCTAGGAGCAGAATTCCTGGATCATATGGCAGTTCTACTTTTAGCTTTTTGAGGGGCCTCCATTCTGTTTTTCCATAGTGATTGTACTAATTTACATTCCCACCAACAGTGTATGAGGGTTCCTTTTTCCCCACAGTCTTGACAACTTTTATTATTGTTTGTGTTTTCGATGGTAGCCATTCTAAAAGGAGTGAAGTAGAATCTTAATGTGGTTTTTGATTTGTACTTCCTTTATGGCCAGGAATGTTGAGCATTTCTTCAAGTATTTTTGGCCATTTGGACTTCTCCTTTGAAAAAGCTCTATTCAGTTCATTTGCTTATTTCTTCATTGGGTCATTGAGTTTTGGGGAGTTTAGTTTTTTGAGCTCCCTGTATATTCTAATTATTAGTCTCTTGTCTGATGTATAGCTGGCAAAGATTTTCTCCCATTCTGTGAGCAGCCTCTTCAATTTAAAAACCATTTCTTTTGTTGTGCAGACACTTTTTAATTTCATATGGTCTCATTTGTCAATCCTTTCTCTTAGTTGCTGAGCCATTTGAGTTCTATTGAGGAAGTCCTTGCGTGTGCCTATTGCTTTCAGTGCATTCCCTTCTCTTTCCTGCACTAGCTTCAAAGTTTCAGGTCTTATATTAAGGTCCTTAATCCACTTTGAGTTGATGCTTGTATGAAATAAAAGACATGGATCTAGATTCAGTTTTCTGCATGCAGGTACCCAGTTTTCCCAGCAACATTTGCTGAAGTGGCTGTCTTTTCTCCATCATATGTTTTTGGCGCCTTTGTCAAAAATCAGGTGAGCGTAGCTACATAGATTCATATCTGGGTCTTCTGTTCCTCTGGTCTTTATGTTTGTTTTTATACCAGTACCATGTTGTTTTTATTGCTATGGCTCTGTAGTATAGTTTGAAGTCAGGTATTGTGATACCTTCAATGCTGCTGTTTTTGCTTAGTATTCTCTTGGCTATTCCCTGTCTTTTGTGCTTCCAAATGAACTTTAGGGTTGATTTTTCAGTCTCTGTGATGAATAACATTGGAGTTTTGATGGGGATTGCATTGAACATGTATATTGGTTTTGGTGATATAGACATTTTCATAATATTGAATCTGCCAATCCATGAGCATGGGAGATCTTTCCATCTTCTGTGGTCTTCTTCAGTTTCTTTCTTCAGTAGTTTATAGTTTTTATTGTAGAGGTCTTTCACTGACTTTGTTAAGTTTGTTCCTAGGTATTTAGTTTTTTTGAGGCTATTGTTAATGGAATTGTTTTCCTGTATTTTTTCTCAGTCTGTTCATTGTTGGTGTATAGAAAGGTTTGTAGATTGATTTTGCACATACCTATTCTTAAGTTCCATATGGAATCAGGACTCATTCACAGGAATTTGTCATGTCTTTTTTTCATACTGCCAGTGACACTTGAAAGAAACTGAGTTAATATTTAGGAAGTTAAATGACTTTAAGTAGAAAGGTGACTATAAGGGTAGAAGCTTATTCCAGTTTTAGTGGAGTAAAACAGACCATTTTAAGATAAAAATTATTCTGTATGTAATATGAATTAAGAAGAACAATCTTAATTTTAAGACAGTTCTCATGTCTTAACGTACCATGTCATCTGGAAAACCATTTTCAAACTTATTTTATGTTCTTTCCTTTTTAAAATTTCAGATTATCTTTATTCAGAATATATAGTTCTGTCTCTTCTTTCATTATTTGTCATAATTTATTTACTTAAATTGTTATTTATTTACTTAACACTTTTTTTATTTGAGGGCAAAACTGGGGTTTGAACTCAGGGCTTCATCTTGCTAGGCAGTTGCTCTGCCATTTAGACACATTCCACCCTCACATAACACTTTCTTGAAATCCTGTTTCTCAAGCCAAGTGCCAGAGACACAGAAAGAACAAAATGACTCAATTGAAAAGGACTCATGGTCTAAATAGACGGTTGAACAGAACTTTATTTCTACTTTCGTATGGGTTGCATATTTCTTATCCTGTCAAATTTGTATAACTTTCACTAGCAGAGAAGTTAGGAAGATAATAAAATACTTTCATGTATGATGTGGTGTAGAGGGCCGGAGGCATGGCTCAGTGGTAGAGCAGATGCCTGGTAAGCACGAGGCCCGCAGTTCAAACCTCAGTACGAAAAAAAAATGGTTTCAAAATTATTTTCCATTTTCTCGCACTATTCACATTGAAAATTTAGAATATAAATTGTTAATAGTATGAAAACAAATTTTTTTTCCTTGACATACTATTAGTTTTGCATGCAATTCTTATAATGGTTCAGGCAACAACTCTCAATGTAGCTTTTAACTCACACAACAAGTCATTGCTTACTATCATGATGTCTAATAATGTAAGTATGAGATTTCATCTCACAGTTTTAATTTATAATTCTGTGGATGAGATAAAATTCTTTGTTCTGTATGTTATTCTCTAGGAAGTTTTATATATAGCAAGTCAGTTTTTAAAACTGTTATAATAAAGATGATATTTCTGTTTACTATTTCAGTTTGTTGAAATTAAAGGAAGTGTTTTCAAGAAGTTTGAAAAGAACAATCTCTTTCAAATGTCAAATAGCGGTATGTACAGCAAGATCTACTTGTAGCTCTAATGGAAATGAATTCAAAGTGGTTCATTACCATAAACAAATGCTAAATAACATTTTAATTAAAAAATTGTATTTTCTAAAACAAATTCGTATTTAGTGAGAAGAGTTGTTTGTTTTTTTTTTCCAACTAGTGCAAAAACATCTAGATAGAGGTTACAAAAAAGATCTTGACCCTGTCCCTCAAAATTAATTCAGAGCCATTCATTGCCATAAACATAAATACAAATTATAAACTAGAGTGGCAGTAGACATTCACAGCCTTTGTATAGACAGTTTTCCAGATCACATACACTAACCATCAGAAGAAATAAGTAAGTTGGCCTTCAAAATTAAAAACTTATTAAAAAATTAAGAAAATGAAAACGCAAGCCATACTACTAAGAGAAAATAATTGAGATACATATATTTGAGAAAGGATTTTCTGTTTCCTAAATATATTACATTCTGTAAATCAGTTGTAAAAAGATAGTTCAATGTAGAAATGGAAAGAAGATTTGAACAGACATTTTGCAAAAGAAGATATATGAATTGCAGTAAGCCCAGGCAAAAGTCCCTTGCATTATTAGGGGAACTATCTCTAAGGAAATCAGAGGAAACCCACCTGCACACCAGAATGGCTGCTTTTGTAGCCTTACATGTAGTCAACAGTTACCGTGTGGATTAATTGACGCACTCATGCACTGATGGTGCAAGTGAAATATTTCAACTGCTCTGGAAAGCATTTTGGCAGTTTGTTTCTTACAGTTGCATGTTTGCCTGCCCTGTAATTCAGCATTGAGAACTGTTACGGCATCTTTATCAGAGTAGGCCAAAACTGAAAACAGCCTAAATGTCTATCAACAAGAAAATGGCAGGTGGTGGTGTACCCATACCGTGCAATTCTAATTAGTAATTGAAAGAAAAAACGAACTACTGCTGTATCCTATGTACATCTCAAAAGCATTGTGCTCAGCAACAAAAGCCACACATGAAAAAGTGCACACTGAGTCCTTTTATCTGATGTTTCTGATGAGACAAAATTTATGATCATAGAAATAAGAGTGATTGCTTACTGGAGATGGAGACAGTAGGAAGGACACTAGGGAACTTTATGGGCGATAAAACATCTATTTTTTTAGTTGAAGTGGCAACCACAACTCAGCAATCTGTGTCCTAAGATCTGTGCATTCCAGTGTATATAAATTACAATTCTATATTTGACAGGGAAAACAATGGCTTATGACTATATTAAAACTAACAAATATTTATAAGTGTAAGAGATTCAAAAACTATACAAAGAAAAAGAAGGACAAATGGAAAATTAACAATAACGTGTAGATTATTGTGTGAACCTTAGGTCTCCAGGCTCTGTGAGGCAGTTTGTGCTAATACTCCTTTCCTTTCATATGTGCAGCCCAGTGCTGTGAATTTGAAGTGTAAGAGAGGAGAATTTTGTATCTGCTCAATAGTTAATAAGTACAGAATTTATTAATTCAACCATAACAGTTTCATTCATTGCAAAAATCACATTTTTATTAAATTATATTAATAACCTGTTTGAGAAGGTAGTCTCTATAGAGCGTTAAGCTAAGATAAGCAGATTTTAAGGGCTTTCAGTCTTTGTGTATAAGAACCTCAAAATTGTAAGGAAGAGAGCATGGTTTTTAAGCTTATCACCATGCTAATATAAATAATGTCTCTTTTGTTTTATAAAAAGGTCCCCAAAATTAACAGTCTTAGGTTAGGTCATGCCTTGAGAGCCAGTGTGTCTCTAAGAAATCAGATGTGATTAATTTAAATGTGGCTTTTATTTATTTTTTGTGTGGGAGTGGCACTGGGATTTGAACTCGGCCTCATGATTGCTAAGCAGGCACACTACCTCTAGAGCCACTCCGTCAGCCCTTTCTTGTGGTTGGTATTTTCAAGGTGGGGTCTCTAACCAGGCTGGCTTTGAACCTCAATCCTCCTGACCTCTGCCTCCTGAGTAGGTGGGATCACAGGTGTGAGTCACTGGTGCCCGGCTGTGGCTCTTATTTTTGCTTTATTATAGTAGAGGTCATAAAAGCTACCTTGGCTTATTTCAGATAATCTCCATTTCTCAAGGCATTTTCTTTCGAGATGATTATGTAATGAGTCAAATTCATATTATATATGCATGCTAGCAGAAGGGTCAAAAAATAAGTACATTTTTTTGTTAACTTTGTTTATGGAAATTAGGAAGGACTTAGCACACGTAGAGATAGATTTGTGAATAATTATACAGAATTCCAATTAAAAGCCCATTGAGACATGTAATCCCTTGAATTAAGATTTACAGCTAACTGTAGGTAAGTTAACTGAGAATGTATGTTGTGTCTGTTTGATGGGAATTATTCTAAGTCAGACTTTTGGTTTAACCTTTGTCCCCTTGAAATCACAAAATAAATTGGACATGTGATCTAGAATTAGTGGAAATGTGGACTTCTTTGCAATAGTATTATGTCTTGCAGGGGGACATATCTGCCTCTGCACCTTTAGCCTTGTTGCTCTGAGGTTACACTCTACAACATGGTTTTGTGACTACACTTGCATAAATACAATGGCAGCTCGGCCCACTGGGCTTCAAGGGGTAAGATGGTGTGGCTCAGACCCACGGCAAAGAAGGCGCTGCGCTGCCTGAGAAAGGAAGGACCCAGAAACTGACTGGAAAAGTCAGAGGGTTTAGGAGAAGCACAGACAGTAAAGGCCAGCTCACTTACTGAGGTCAGGGCTTTCCTGTGGGAAAAAAAAGTCCAGATAGTGTTGTTACAGACTATCAGGAATAGGTGGGAATAAGAAAAGAGGAGCACAGACAGTCCAACAAAGGACATCAAATTTAAGTTGAAATGCAGAATGCCTACAGGAGGTACCACAGTGGGGTTGTGTAGGTGAGCCTGGTGTTAGGAAGAGAGGAGAATACTGGGAAATAACAGCAGAATGTCTTGAGAGCTTTGGAAGTGAGTTTCTAACCGCAGCCCCCGCTCTACACAGCACAAATGCAGGTATATACACTCAGTGCAGAAGTCACTTCACTGTCTCTTGACTTCATAGCATCTTGTTTTCTTAGCAGAAACTAACAGCTTCAAAAATGAAATGCATAAACTAGCTCAGAGACCTAGTTACAAACTTATAGTTAAATATCATTGCAAAACCTAATTTTGTTCCCACCCCCTCACCCAAATTCTGCACATGTCCTAAGTAATACAATTGTTGTATTACCATTCTCTTAGCTAAGGATTCTCAGGTCAGAATTCATTTACTTACTATTTACCAAATTTAAAATAGTCTGGGGCAGGGCTTGGTGGCTCACAGCTGTAATCCCAGATAATCAGGAGGTAGTGATCGGGAGGATTGTGGTTTGAGGCCAGCCCATCTCTACAAGAACGACAAAAAAGCGGGTCATGCTGGTATGCCTGTTGACCCTCCTGTGCAGGAAGTCTAAGTCCAGACCAGCATGGTAAAAATACAAGATCCTATGTCAGAAATATCCAAAGCAAAAAGGACTTCGGGGCATGGCTCAAGCAGTAGAACACCAGCCTAGCACGTGCAAGGGCCTGAGTTCAAACCCCAGTACTGCCAAGAAAGAAAGAACTGATCTGCAACACAAGGGTTTATGCTTCCGTTTTTTTTTCTTTTTCTATAAAATGAGAACAGTTGTCATGTGTCCCCAAAGACTATTGGAGGAGTTTAATAACCCAGTCTAAGCAGTTTAAGGGCTTGAATATGTTTTGAAGTTGTAGAAATTTTGAATTTTCATACTAGAATTTTGTTGGAGAAATAGTTTGCCACACACACACATTTGTGTGTGTATATATATATTTATGTATGTAATTGTGTACAGTCAGTCCCCTCTATATCTGTACATCCTGTATCCATAGTTTCAACCAACTGCAGATTAAAAACATTCTAAGAGAAATGCCACAATATACCCCCACCCAGCATAACAGTAAAGGGAAAAATATTCTAAGACAAAAAATTATATCTGTATTGAACATATACTTTTTTCTTATCACTATTCCCTAACAATATTGTATAACAACTATTCATACACTGTTTACATTGTAGTAGGTATTATGATTGCTGTAGAGAAGATTCCAGGTATACAAGAGGATACCCATGGGTTCTACACGAACACTGTGGTGTTCCATACAAGGGACTCAAGCATCCTGTATTTTGGTGTCCAAAGGGGTCCTGGAACCAGTGCCCCACAGATGAGGAGCAACTATACTTTATTCTTTGCAGATATTTATAGATAGTATAATAATATCATGTTTTCATAGAATTATTTTATATGTTGTATATTATATGCACTCTAGTACTTAAGTTTTTTTTCTTTTTTTAGATATTAAGGAACGATTTACAAATTATGTTCTTTTGCTAATAGTGTGTTTAAGAAACATGGAACAGTTTTCTTGGAATCCAGGTTGGTAGCTCTTAACAAATAAAGTGTCTTATAATTTCACTCTTTAACCGAAGTTATTCTTTTACATGGAATAAAATGAGTACTGCAAAAACCTTTACAGGACTAACAGTAACACAGTTGGGTATTAGAAATACCAGTTTCAGGAGAATGGGGGGATCGTGTTCTTGGGTGGTGGCGGTGGGATGGGGATGCCATCATTTATTGTAAGTCTCACGGTGTCTCAAGCTGTGTACTCTTTTTTTTTTTTTTTCTTGTCTTCTCTTTTTTGGTGCTGGGATCAAACACAGGGCCTCGCGAGCTAGGCAAGCGCTCTTTCCCAGCCCGAGCTTTGAACTCTTGGAGGACCATGTCCTGCTTAACAGTGCAGCTCCAAGCCTCTCTCTCTGAGGCTGTTGTGGTTACCTAAATCCAGTTAGGTTGTTTTCATTTTAGGGTTGACCAGAAGAACCTTTGCTCTTCTGTCACATTTGTCTCTTACCTGTTCACCACTAATTCGCACTTGGACTAGGGATAACTACAGAAGTGGAATGTAAACCAGTAAGTGTTGATACTTACATGTGTCCCTGAGTCCAGGCTGACAGGAAGTTGTCAAAATTTCATGAACTTTCATCATCCATTCATTTGGCAAACCCTCACTGAGCATATACGATGTGTCGGCAATAGGCAAGGCACTGTAGCTAAGACATTTGTAGGACTTATAGACTGATGCAGAAATAAGTAATTATAATGCCTAAGTGAGCTAGGTGGAAATGATCACTTGCTCAACTCTTGAGTAATTTAGAAGGTATTTGTAATGTCTGACATTTTTGTACAACTTTGTTCTTAATGGGCATGAGCACCTGTGAAAACAGAAGCAGACAGAATGAGATACATGATCTAGGAAATATATTTCTAGAAGTTACTTTCTTACAGAAATCAGGATCAAATGACATGAGATCCAAAAGCCACTTGACTTGTGTCAGGAAAGCTTCCTTCCACCACACCTGGATTCTTTAAGTACCTGGATCCTTTCAATGGCTGGTGGTCTAACTTGGTTAGCCAACAGTATCCACAAAAGACAGAATGGATGTGTGTGGCTGTTCCAGGAGCCCATGTGGGATCAGAGATCCCAGAGTTAAAGGACAAATACCCCCTAAGCTTCCAGAAAACTCCATGTGTGAAGCCATATTCTCACTTGTACTGATGACTTTCAACAAATTATTTTAACTTTGACCATCACTGTCACAGGCAGAGCAATCAAAGTAACACCGTGCTGAATGGATTTATCCTCTTTCTACTTGTCATTACTTTTTAGGTTCTTTCATAATTTCCTTTTTTTAAACCGAAGTCCCATTTGTAGATACTTTCCCTAATTGCCCAGGATAATTAGTAGCATAAAAATAGTACTGTTTTGTATGCCAGGCATATTGCTCGTGTACCATTATCTCATTTAATTTTCATGATGCAATGTAGTAGTCCTTTTGATTACCCTTGCTTTGTGATGAGGAGACTGGAATCTAGATAGCTAAGAAACTTGCCATGGTCAGATAGCACTTAGTGGCAGAGTTGATTGTCAGAGTCCCTAGTTTCCAGAACTTCATCATGAAGTCAGATTCAGAAAAGCTGCCTTGTGTTGTCAGCCTCTAGCCCTTAGCATTTGCAAACATCCTTTTCTTTTCTGACCCACCCTTAAATCCTTCTCCAAGGTCTTAGGAGGTTATCTGGGGGTGTTTTGCTTTGTCTTGTTTTTTTTCTCAGCTACATAATACTGAATTAAGATTTTAATAAATATCCTAAAGATAAGCAGTTAAAAAGTTACAGCTGCATGATAGTGAAATAAATGATTAATCCATGTCTTTTTTTTTTTTTTTTTTTGTGGTACTGGAGTTTGAACTCAAGGCCTCGAATTTGCAAAGCATGTACTCTACCACTTGAGACACGCCTCCAGTCCATTTTGTTCTGGTTATTTTGGAGAAGGGGATCTGACACTATTTGCCAAGCTGGCTTCAAACCAAGATCCTCCTGGTCTCAGCCTCACAAGTAGCTAGGATTACAGGCGAGAGCATATGGTTCATATCTTTTTCATTCATAGTGATCAAAGAGGAAAATTGCTCAGGTTACTTCAGCACTTCCCTACCATCTATTTACTGTCACACTGAGGCACGTATGGAATCAAAGGCTTCCCTAGTGCACCTGCTTATCTAGGCATCCCTCAGTATGCTGGTCCTGTGGAGGCAGAGGCTGTGTTCCCCACCTGGCCAGCATGTGAAGTAGTGCTTGGAACAGAATTACTGAGTAAATATTTGTTGAATGAATTACCCTTTAACTTGGAAAAACATGGCTCCTTTGGATAAAGATTATAATTAATTACTACTCTTTACATCATTTATTGAAAATACTACCATTTTTTGCCCTGTGGAGATTTCAGATTTGTGATAGCTTATGATACAGATTTATTCATATTAAGAGATTTAACTGCCTTTTGTTTTTCCATACTTTGTAGATCATTTCTGGGTACTATTTCCGGATGTCTGTATGGTGATTGCATCAGAAATTGCTGTGGATATTGTAAAACATGCCTTTATCACCAAGTTCAATGACATTACTGCAGATGTATGTATTTCTACAAGCAATTCAGTGTTTGAAGTTTACTTCTTAGTGTTAGAAACTTGTGGAATAATGAGTTTAAATTTATTTGCATTTGTGAAGATTATTGACTAGGAGATTACTACTAAAGTTAGAATTGTAATTTTAACTTCATAAAAATTGTTACATTGCCAAAAGTATTTTATTTCAAAATTAAACTGTCCTAGTTTCATACTTTGGGGTGGATGTGTAATTCAATCAGTAGTTGAGACAAGAGTGTCACTAACTCAAAATCGTTATAGACTGTTCTTTCTGTCATAATCTTTTTACTTAAGCTTTTTTAAAAATCATATGTACCTATTTTAAAAATTAGACTATCAGAGCTTCTTTCTGGCTAGTTTTTTTTTTAACTTTTTAAATTTTCTATTTAAAAATTTGTTTTTCCTATAGTCATAAATTTCTAAGTGCTGAAAGATAGGAGCATCCCTCATTCCTCCTGTAGTCCCAATATGAACGTTGGGTTCAACAGTTTTCTCGATTTTGTTTGGTTGTACGTTTAGCAGTCCCGGGGTTTGAACTCAGGACCTCCTGCTTGCTAAGCAGGCACTCTACCACTTGAACCACTCCAGCAGCTCTTTTTTTTTCTGTGTGTGTGTGTGTTAGGTATTTTTGAGATAGGGTCTCACTGTATGCCTGGACCGGCCTAGACTGCAGTTCTCCTAATAGTGCTGACAGGTGCCTGCCATCTCCTCCAGCCATTGGTTGAATAGGGTCTTGTGAACCTCTCTGCCCAGGCTGCCTGGAGCCTCCATCGCCCCCATGTCTGCCTCCTGAGTGACTAGGATTACAGATTTGAGCCTTCTGGCTTTCTTCTGATACTTACTGTTTATTTTCAAAGATTTAAAGTCAAATGGAGTTGCAGTTGCTACAGTTTGATATATGGATTTCTGAGTGCTTTAATATACTTGAAGAAAATGTTTTTGTACTTTTTTGTAAAGCACTGGTAAAGTGATTTCACCATCTTTTTCATTTTTATTCTTTTTTTTTTTTTTTTGGCAGCACTGGGGTTTGAACTCAGGGCCTCTCACTGGCTAGTCATGCACTCTTACTGCTTAAGCCACTCAGCCAGACCTTTCTTGGCTTCTGTAATGCATATTGATTCCCTTTTCATATGATCATTTTCTCAACATCTGAAATCAGATGAATAGGCTTGATTAGGGTACTTAGGGCAGTTTCTAGCAGAGACAACAATTTGCCAGTGTCCTTATGACTAAAATGGGAATACTATGTTCCCTAGCTCAGTTTTATGTAGTGCTATTTATTAACATCCATTTTTCTAAGAAGGTATTGTAACAATATGTTTTTAAATTATTCTATTAATTTAAAATTTTCTGAATTATATTTTACATATGACACTACTTAAAATAGTCCCTGTTCCCAAAATTCTGAATTCTCAGGATCATAATCATTGAATAGTCATTCCTCTGAAGCAATCCAGTTAAAGCCTCTGAATGTAAAAGCTCAAGGATTTGAGCCTGTGTTTTACTTACATTGCAGACAAACTGTAGAGTAACTGCTTGGTTTTAGCACTTGTTCTTGCGTAAGTGTAAACATTTTTATCTACAAAGTCTCAAGCTTTCCACATAATGTATTTGTACTAGATTACTTAATATTTCTTTCTTGTTTGTCTTTAGGTCTACAGTGAATATAGAGCCAGCCTTGCTTTTGACCTTGTTAGCAGTCGACAGAAGAATGTGAGCATTTTATCAAAGGCATAGTTTGAAATTAATTGAACAACGGTTAAATTAGCATGGAATATTAGTTAAGAGAAAACGACATAGACTTGAATTTATCTCTCTAAACATTAAATGTTTGCGTACTAATAATACTTGACATTAAATAGAATATGATATTTGCAGGATTGCAATAGTTATGTAACTTTGCATTTAAAACTTCTTGTGAAATGATAAAGCGAGAGCACACAAGGGAGGTATGAGGATAGGTAAAACACCCAAAAAATTTGTTGCCCTCAATGCAGAGAAACTAAAGCAAATACCTTAAAAGCAACTGAGGCCAATAGGAAAAGGGGACCAGGAACTAGAGAAAAGGTTAGATCAAAAAGAATTAACCTAGAAGGTAACACACACGCACAGGAAATTAATGTGAGTCAACTCCCTTTATAGCTATCCTTATCTCAACCAGCAAAACCCTTGTTCCTTCCTATTATAGCTTATACTCTGTCTACAACAAAATTAGAAATAAGGGCAAAATAGTTTCTGCTGGGTATTGGGGGGGGGGAGGGAGGGGGCGGAGTGGGTAGTAAGGGAGGGGGTGGGGGCAGGGGGGAGAAATGACCCAAGCCTTGTATGCACATATGAATATAATTAAAAAAAAGACTTCTTGTGAACACTCAGATTTCTGCATCATTTTACTCATGATGTAAGGTTCTTTCTCTTCCTGCTCATACCCTCACCTGTTGAGAACATTTGCTGGCGATGAGTGAGCAGTACTATTTAAGTGCTGGTCTGAATCCTTCGCTCCTCTCTCTGTACAGGCATACACTGATTACAGTGACTCAGTGGCACGAAGGATGGGATTTATTCCTCTCCCTCTAGCTGTCTTAGTAAGTCCATACTTTTTTTCTGATTTTTTTTTTTTGTTTTACAATCAGATAGCCATTATTGTAGAACATTGATAAATGGATTATCAATAAGTTTGTTTCAAAATGACTTGATGTAAAAATTAAAGCTAAATAACTTGGAAAAATTTTGTTTTAAATTATAGCATTGTCCTTTTGGATTTTGAGCCATCCCATACAAAAGTGAGATTAAGGAGCTGCTTATGGAACGGCTTTCCTGGCAGTGTGACTACTGTTCCTCATTCACTTTAGAAAGGTCTTTCTTTGCTAATGGGAATGCTTGGTGGTGGGCACGGATGTGCTAGTGGAGCACACGGGCGTGGCCATGTAAATGGCTCAGCTTCTAGAGGGCAGTTTGACAATGTCACATTTTGATGTGGTCCTTCTATTTCTAGGAATTTAGCCTAAAGAAATATTTATAAAAGGCATACAGCAATTGATGAGCAGGGCTAAGCGTTGAAGTGCCATTTATAGTATCAAAAATGTGGAAGCAAATTAAATGGGATACAAAACATGTGATACACCCAAACCAGAGACATATTTGGTATCTGTTGATTAAAACATTTGTGAAATTTTAAAAAGTTATCCACTTTGACTATCTTAAAAAAATGTTTCAGAACAGCCTTGTACATAGTTCTAGCACATCAGGCTGTGATAATATTAAGATTTTCTGGCTGCATCTCTGTGTTATTAAGTTCCTTTCCACTAGTATCCAAACAAATGCAATGTCTTTTTCTCAAAAGACACCTAGAGAGTTCTCCTACAGAAGCAGATCAATAGCAATAGCTTGTTATACAATAACGTAGGGAGAAAGTTGCTCTTGGAACTGTGGAAAAATAGAGGGTTTTAAAAAGTGAAATTAACTTGGTAAAGTTTTAAGAGATTGATAAACTAGAATGTTAGTTTTTTTTCTGCATGTGTTTTCTCCAGCTGAAAACATGATACTTTGAATTGAGGTTAAACCTAAAGTCCTGACTGATTTTGAATAAAAAGATTGTTTAAATAGCAGCAGTGATTTCTCTGTTAGAGGTTGTGACAAGGTGAGGCCTTCCATGTTGGTTTTATCAAAGTGAAACCATTGAACAGCCAATAATCTGTCTCCTTACCTCATTTCAGTTGTTCTTTACTAGTAGCATTTTTTAATGTCTTTTATAATGTATGATAAAGGTATTTATGTGAAACACTGGGAATAGACTCTTCCATTTGATAACTTGACATTGTTGGATGAGGCCAGTTCTCCTTAATTCTTCATCTCCATATAGCCCTCCCCCAAGTCCTTAATATATGGGCACGGTTGCACCTATAATGTGTAAACATTTTCTCTCAGTTGTTCCTACCAGATTTATTCTGTAGACTTCCAAGGATAATGTTATTCCTATGCTTCTGTGAGATAAGTTTTACTAATTATCCAAGAGAGAAGTTTTTCAACCTTAAGTAACTAATTTTATAATCGTGTTTGGCTTTTTTTTAACAATATAATACTTCTAAGATTCCTGTCTCTCTCTGCTCCCTGTGTGTTATTTAGGGTTCATAAAGAAATCAAACAGTGGACGGGGGAAAAAAATTAAGAATAAGGGAAATGCTGTCTGTTAGGTACAAGTCTGACTTCAGACAATCAGCAGGAGTTGCACTGCTTGCTGGGTTTGCCTGAAGAAACCAGAATCTACCACAAAAGTTTCTAAGCAGGCAGGTTGTGCTATGAATACAAAATCTAGAAATGCCCTCTTGGGTTTAGACAAAGGCCACTGGTTTGGCCTAAAGTGTTGAAACCAGCCTGAAGAAATCTTTTATTTAAATATTAACTAATAACTCTGTGATTGTATGTTTTGTTGTTTTGATTTGTTTCTGGCTAGCTCATCAGAGTTGTAACAAGCTCAATTAAAGTACAAGGAATCCTGTCTTACGCCTGTGTCATACTCTTCTATTTTGGGTAAGATTGACTATTGACTGTTTTTGATTTTATAGTAAAGTATTCATGCAAGAGGTAATAGAGACTAACACACCCAAATAATACTTCTCTCACTCTGTGTACTTCAGATTTTATTTTAATCTTTAATTAAATCTTTTACTTTTAAGTCCTTTTGACTTAAGATTTAGGCTTCACCCATATTTTCTTTTATGAAAGAAATCTGCCCTTGCAGTCTTAAAAACATTCTTGACTTTCTAATATGCTTGCCACATGTGGGTGCAGAAAAGTAACTCTGCCTGTGGCCGGCTGAGCCTTACCTGCACATTTGTCAGTCTCGGCAGCTTACATTGTAGTTGGGAGAGACAAACAATAAGCAAAGAGATAAAACAATTTAAGTCATAAATGGTAAGAAGAAAACAGTAGCATAAAAAGGTGGTTTTGCCTTTGTTAGTTTTCTTAAGAAGTGAATCAAGACTAGGTGAGGTGCACACACTTGTAATCCCATCTGCTCAGGAGGCGGAGATCAGGAGGATGTGGTTCTAGGCCAGCCTGGCAAAAAAGTTAGCAAGACTCATCTCAACAAATAAGCCAGGTATACACTTGTAATCTCAGCTATATGGGAGGCACAGGCAGGAGGATCAAGGTCTGTGGCCTGACCCAGACAAAAATGCAAAAGACTCCATTCAAAAGGAAAAAAAAAGTGAATCTCCAGAAACCGTTTCATGGCTGAGCGTTTTTCCACGACTGCACTGCAGCCTACTGCTCAGGAGTAGTGACTGTCAGCTGCATCTGTAGTTCTCCAACGTGCAGCACAAGGCGTGAGCATGCTTCCCAATAGCTGCAGTGCCTATCTCAGCCTCATCCTCCACAGCTATGCCAGGGCATACGGCAGGCCATAATGCCCTCGGCATGGTGCAGCTCTGCTAGGTTACATACCATTTCCTATTTTCCATTGGAATGAAACCAGAAATGCTTTATGTCTGGTTCTGTTGCTAATAACACAATGCCACAGACTGGTAAGTTATAAAGGAAAGAGGTTTATTCTGGTTCAAGGTTCTGATCCTTGGATCAGAATCAAGGGGCCACATCTACTGAGACTTTCTTGCTGACAGAGTCCAAGGCAGTGCAGGTGACCACATGGCTTGAGACAGGCCCATGAGAGGCCTGGCTTTGATGGCAGGTCCACTCTGGAGATAACCCATTAGCACATTGATCACATGGATGGGTTAATCCTCTCCTGTGGGCAGTCTTACTCACCTCTGAAAGTTCCTACCTGGTCCTACATCTTACCATCTCACTTCAGAGGGGACAGACCTTATTCAAATTCAAACCATAGCACTTTATTAAGGTAACTCCTTTCAGTTTCTGGACATTACAAACCATGAGAGCCTCTTTTCCTGGTACAGATTCTCAGACCCTACCCCATGTTCTCAGCATTGTGCTCTGTTTACCAAGGGTTGTTGCTGTAATTGCTCCCATCTTTGTCTAACAAGCTCATTGTTCTAGAGGATGTGCTTGCCAGCTTGGAGGGAAGACTCCCACCACCACCCTTCCTGATCCATTCAGCAGTCCTGGAGCACCAGGGCTGGGGCTGAGAGGCTGGCTGTTTGAAGGATCAGCCAAAAAGAAAACAGACAAGTGACCTCCCTTGGTGTTGCTAAAATTCTAGTGGACAGCAACTCAAGTGAAATTCAGATGAATAACTAGAAAAGCAGATAGCCCTAAAGTGACAGTTGGCAGTAAATATTATGAAAAAAAATGCACTAGTATTGTGAGATGAAGAATGACAAAGATGGCTGCCTTAGAAAGTGTGGGCAGGCAGGCCTCTGCCTAGTAGGAGAGCAGGTTCAGCCAAGGGGACCCAAGGACACAGGCCTCATAGGAGGATCACCTACCACATGGCAGGCCACACATCTCATGGGAGAGAATGACTGAAAGCCTGCAAGCCAGGGGAAGAGTGAGGTGCAGTGGTCTGTCTACAAGGCCACTCAGGCTGCTGTGTGGGGAATGGGCTGGAGAGTAGCATGAGAAGCAGCAGTGGCAGGAAGCTATGGTCACCATCCAGGTAAAGGTGACCAAGGCTGCAGTTGCAGTGGTAGCAGTGCAAGAGTATGAGCTTGCAGTGGGTCTGCATTGCTTGGACATGAGGCATGCAGGGATGACTTCAAGTACGGCCCAAGCAGTTAAGGTAATGGGATTACTGTTTACTGGGACACAGAAGCTGTGAGAGAAGCATACATTTGTAGGAGGGGGTGGGGAGGGCTGGGGTATAGTAAGGTGGTTTAGAGTTGGTGAGGTTGGGTCGCTCTTAGACATCTCTAGACGTCACAGAAGCAGGGGCAGGTTGAGGGGTGACTGGCAAGATGTGGGGCTGGTAGTAAATTTGCTGTTGGGGATCTTTGATTTGCCATAGAGGGTCTTTGATGCTTGTGTTCTTAGCTTCTGGGTGCAGAGACTGAGGGCTGTGCAGGAAACCTCGTGCTTTCTGCTTTGACCCACTTTCAGGGCACCCCACAAACTTGTCCTCACTGACTTGTAACCCCATGTTACTGACAGAGTTTCATCTGGAGCATAAAAGTAGCTGTCCACTTCTTCACTCAAGTTAAAATTGCCATTGAAGTTCTTGGTTCTGTGTCATTTAAGGTCTACAAAACATGAGAAGATAACCGATGTGACACTTTTTTCTCCAAGATTTTTTTCCAGATTTATATTAGGTACCTTAAAATATTAAGTAACTTTTGACCCAGAAATTACACTTTTGTATTATAGTTATCTAGCAATTTATCTTAAGGAAGTAGAAGTTTAACATAAATTTTCTTAATCAAAAAAATTTTAATAGAAACAAAATATAGGAAATGATCTAAATATCCCAAACCAGGGGCTGTTTAGAATGGGATTTCGTTATATTCCAAAATCCACTTAAAATAATGTCACTGAAGAACATTAATGACATGGAAAAACATTCTTGATGTCTGTTGCATAAATTACGGTAATAATAAAATAGGAACTTACTTAACACTTTTGGGTGCCCAGCACTGCTCTGAGGACCTTGACCTGGCTGAGGAGCTAGCTTACCAGGTCTACACAGGGCTCCACTCAGACACTGGCCCCAAGCCCTTGCTCTCACTCACCTTCCCTCTTCCACTGCCATGTAACTAGATCCCATTTCCCCACAGTAAGAGACTACAAACGGTTGTGTACTCAGAGAACACCTGAAAGATGGTGTGCCAAATGCCACAGTGATTATCACCAGTGTATGGAATTATAATTCATTTTCTTCTTTTGTTCATCTGCGTGTACTAACTGTATTTGTTTTTTAATAAGAAAATAAATATTACTTAGTACCAGGATAAATTTCTAACTGGTAGAATTTCTTAGAGAACTAAGGAATTTATCAAAAGTTTTCCCTTGTGATAAAGAAGCCCATGAAACAGGCTTTGTGTAAGGAACTTCCCTCCAAGCCAGGTCCTCTGACTCCTGGGCCATGCCTTCTCCAGCCAGAGTAGGAAATGGCCCACAGGTGATTCAGATGAACTCCAACAATGGTAGTCTGTTTTGTTTTGTTTTTTTCCGATTTTAGGCTGATTACCCTGAAAATACTTAATAGCATCGTGCTGTTGGGGAAATCATGCCAATATGTAAAGGATGCCAAAATGGAAGAAAAGCTGTTTAATCCTCCCCCTGCCAGCATGCCAGGAAAACCAGGCAGTAAATCACAAAACAAATGTAAATCCTCTCAAGGTATGTTTACTGCTTCTCATCATTTCCCCGAACCAGCTTCAAAGTTCACTGTCTAAACTCTTCCTAATAAAAATCACAGTTCAGTCAACTGTTAGCAATGCTTTAAAGATCTGATTTCACTTTACTTAGTTATTTGGTTACTTTACTAGTTATATTTTAGATCTCATCACAGACACACAGGACAGTGCTCTAAGTTTTTGCATTTAGGTGATTATTAAGCACCTGTTACATGCCAGGTACAGGGCATACAGCAGTAAGGAAAAGACAGTGTCCCTGCACTGGTAGAGCTTGTTCTAGACTGTTGGGAGAATGGGAAGAGAAATAAGTGGGCACCACGTCAGGTGTCAGTGAGGGAGTAGAGAAAACTAAAGCAGGGTGAGGAAAGGGAAGAGTGAAGGGGCAAAGGGTCATGTGCATAGGGCGAAGACAGTTCTGAACCGAGCTGCTTAGCTTGTCAAAGGACATCAAAGACCAAATGGCTGTAGTGCAGGACCCTGAAGGACCCCAGAGGACTCCTGGGCCCTGCATTGTTGCCAGGACCTTGACTTTGACTTGGGTAGGAAGGGGGCCAGTACAGGGCTTTGAACAGAAGAACAGCAGGATGCAGCTGGTATATTCAAAGGATCCTTCTCAGGCTCTGTGAGTAGTGGACTCGGGGTAAGCCTAGAGGCAGGACCCAAGGCAGAGGCTGCCTGGGTCAGAGCAGGGAGAGCCAGGGAGATTCTGGGTAGACCTAGAAGATTTGATCAAAGAGTTTGGATGAACAGGTTGTGAAGAGTGAGAAAAGGAGAAGAATTGAGGATGACACCAGTGTTTCTGGCATGGAAGATTGGGAAGGAGAACTGAGACACTGGTTTACTTTCTGTCACCAGATGACAGTTCTCTGTTGACATGGGTGTTTGCTCATGCACCTTTCAGTTTAAATGGGTTATGTTAAATGTGTGGGGCAGCTGGGTGCCAGGTAACACAACTTACACCCTAGAGCCTCCCTTCCAAGAGGGGAGCAACACAAGGAAATCTAGGTGAGCAAAGGGATTGGGGGTGGGTGGGGGGAGACTAGAGAGTGTTCTTCCTAGAAGTAACCACTCCACATTGTATGGTAAAAAATGAGGAAAATAGGCCAGGTGAAGACCAGTGGAAAGGACATTTTAGGAAAGGGGCCAGTGTGAGTTAAATCACAGGGATGGAAAGAGGCATCCAGAGAACTACCTGTCTGTGTTATAAGAGTGCAGAGCTTGCTCTGGCAGGGTAGAGAGACTTGAGCTGGGCCTGAGTCTGGCCTGAAGTGAGGCTGTAATCATCCTGTATGTTTTATCAGAAGCTAAAGTGTAAAAAAAGTGGCAGATAACATTTTTCATTGCAAAGAACACGTAAGTACTGTTGGTAATGCAAAGATTATATTGCATTGTTTCAAAAAGAGCTCAGTGTGTCTCCACGTGTTCTGTGTATACTGAGAAGTGAATTGGACTGGAGGTTAGCCTCAAGCGTGGAGCATCCACTTTGCAAGCAAAAATCCTTGAGTTCAAACCCCAGTCCTACCGAAACATACAAATAAATAAATTTAAAATGGTGTTTTTAAAAAAAACAAAAAGAAGTGCCGGGGCACCAGTGGCTCATGCATGTAATCCTAGCTACTAAGGAGGCAGAGATCAGGAGGATTGTGGTTCAAAGCCAGCCCAGGCAAATAGTTGGTGAGACCCTATCTTAAAAAAAAATCATCACAAAAAAATGGGCTGGTAGAGTGGCTTCAGATGAAGGCCCTGAGATCAAACCCCAGTACTGAAAAAAAAAGAAATGAAATGTCAGTCTTGCTTTCAAGAGGGTCCAGTCTAGTGGAAGCTGGCCATTGAACCATGCAACAGTCATGTAATTGGAAGGATGTCCTGGGGGTCAGGAAACCACAGGCTAGAGACCATTCAGGAGGTATTGAAGTGAGGCCAAAGGTGGGTCAACACCCAAAGAGATAAGGACAGCAGTGGAGCTGGGCTGGTCAGGAGGGGGTTCCACAAAAGATAGATGGAGATGTACAGTACCTCCTGATGGCAGTAGTTTCAACAGATGTTTACACAAAACTCATCAAGTTATATATTTAAAATAGGTATGGTTTATCTGCAGTTCATTTTTGGCTCAAAGAAGCTGTTCTATAAACAATCGCCCAGTATTGGAGCACTTGCCTAGTAAGTGCAAGGGCCTGAGTTCAGTCCCTAGCACAAAAGGAAGGAAAAAAAGGATTCGGTGTACAATTCAGAGGTCAGTGGGTTCAGGCCCAGCTCATCTTGTCCCCAAGACCGGCCTCCAGTATCCCCACAACCTAAAATAAATACTGGGGGTTTGGTTGGGTGGTTTTCCCTCTGGTTTGAACTTCCTGGAGGTTCTAAAACTTCACTCAATCTACGTAAAGTGACTACAAATAAGAGGTGAAATGCCTAGAGTCTGCTGTGCCCCTTCCTGAAGTCCTGAGTGAAGGAGCCAGTGGCAATTTTTGATAATTCTTCAGGTCTGGTAACCAGTCATATCAAGATATGGTGACAGGAAGGAGTTACACTCTTTCCAGAATTGGGTGATTTGTGTTATCCATGTACTGTGATCAACATAACACAGCCTTCTGCAAAATTTTGGATGAGCAAGCAGAGTTGGTTTAACCTCTAGGTTTTTTGTTTGTTTTTTTAAATATAGCTGTTTTTACTATATGCTATTTGGTTTTCATTTGTTTTATCTAAGAGGGAGGATAATGGAGGCTTCTCAGTTCCACTGCAGATCTAAGTATTGATAAGCTCGTGTTTGTTGTAAACTGAGGGGAAATCATTTTCTAATTTGATGGATGTACTTTTCCACAGGCCTTTCCACGGAAGAAAACCTGTCTGCTTCGGTCACCAGCCAGCCTGTTCATCAAAAGGAAAGTGTCATACCTTTACTTGTGACCAGCAATTCTGATCAATTTTTGACAACTCCAGATGGTGATGAGAAGGACATAACACAAGAAAATTCTGAATTAAAACACAGATCCTCAAAGAAAGACTTGTTAGAGATAGACAGATTCACAATTTGCGGAAACCGAATCGACTGAATTCTGTGGCTCGTGTGCTGCCGTGCTGGGCCCTGGAGCAGGTGCTGTGCAGCCAGGACACACATGCCAAATGGCACTTCAATATTTATTTAAAAACTTAAATTATTAATGGCAAGCAAATCTTAGTATCTTTCTTCTGATAATGTGGTCTGGCTGAAGGTCAGATCGTGGAACAGCAGCGGCTTTCACCCTTGACTCCAGGAAACTTAATGGATGACCAACACTTCTCTGCCTGGCGAAGCAGCAGCAGCAGCAGCAGCTCTTCTAGGACCAGGCAGAGCAGGGGCCCAGTCTCTTTTGCTTTGTCAGCCTGGGCTTCCAGAATATTGAGTTTTGCCTCAAGGCCCCTTCAGTATATGGATATACCTGGGAAACTGTGAAGCTTTCCAGTCTCATACTATTTTTACAAACAGTTTTCAAACTTCATCTGCCAAAGCATTCAAAAATTATTAAACATAAGTCAGGATAAATGCCCTTACCACCAGAGTAAACCTCAATGATATATCTGAGCTAATCAGTCAGAATAAAAGGCTACCTTAATTACGGTGTGATGAATAGTAGCATTTTATAGAAAATAAAAAACAAGCCCTAAGCCAGTTCATTTATTTAAAAGAAAAAAAATTAATGAAGGTATACACTATTGAGAAAGTATATCATAATTTTTCAGTTTACTCTTTAAAACAAAATGTGAGCTATGTGCTATTTAATTGCAGTGGATAAAATAGGAAGTTTTCTTACAAAAAGGCACTTTTTTTACTGAAAAAGCAGTGTTAACTTTAACGTATAGTTAACTGGTTTTGCTTCAAAACTAATTGCCTCAACAGTTGTTCCAGCTAAAAGAAGTTGATGAATAGGCTGAAAAATTGTCAGTGTACAAAATTCAAAACTGTTGACATAAACTGGATTTTTTAAGCAACAGTTTTATGGTCAATATTCCACATAGATTGGGCCACCTCATCTCACTTGGCTGATACAGTGCATCCGTCGTCCTCTCTGGAGCATCAGAATTGCGCCTGTGCCAGGCGGGGTCTGTGATCTGTGGGCAGGCTGTTCCGTGGTGAGAGAGGACCTTGTGTGAAAGAAAATGGGGAAGTTTGGGACATGCAGACGCCAGTCTGGGCACAGGGAGGCATTTGACTGGATGTTCGGAACAGCAACCAAAAAGTGCTTTTTGGTTTATTCGAAGTCAAGATTCCATTTCTGCTCTATCCCTAGTTGGTAGCCTGCATCATAGGACAGATGATTTCCATCCCATTTTGTCTTGAGACTTCTTTCTACATTTCTATAAAAATTTGACCACTTCTGACTTCAGAATCATGCAGAAGATGGTACTGTCAACCTTATTTCCTTTGACATTTCAATTTTTAAATTAAGCTTTCAGGCAAATGTTTCAGGCATATTTACACAGAAGGCAAGTGCTAGGTGATTTGTCTGTACCCTGGGTAAAATATAAAGCAGACTTTAATGCTTTGGCTTGTTCATTTGAAATACAAAAATGGTTTTAATTTTTGTACTAACTAAAGAAATCTGAATGTTGATGTTGAAGATACTGTACAGACATGCCTTGTGAAGCCAGGAACTATTTTTAAGTTAAAATGAACATTTTAATTATTTTGCTATGTCTCAGTGGGGCCCCTTTTTAAATCTGTTTTTTTTCTATCTCCTTTTCTCCAAAAAAGGAACAATGTTATGGTGAAGAGGAAGAGTCTGGAGAAGGTGTTGCCAAACAACCCTGACCAGAGCAAGACCATGGTTGGGGTGCACCTTTCAGTTCCACTTCAGTTTTCTGTTACTGTGCTGTCGCTTTCATTTCTTTTGCAGAGGCTGTTGGGAGTGTCGGATGACACTCATTTCTTCTGTCACAGTGGCACTCAGTACTGATTTTATAAGTGCATCTTGTGTGAAACTCAATAAATTCAATTTTGTAATCTTTTTTTAAAAAGGTCATTGAATTTATTTTAGTAATATTTTCTGTTGTATTTGGTGGATTGTGTTTCCTACACCATAATAAGAATTTATTTCTAATTTACAAATGATGGGATCATCTTAATTTCAATTACTTTTTTGTTCTACATAGTGGACCCAGGTTGTATTTTGTCTTTGAAAGAATGGCCTGGACCTTGATCATACACCATGAAGGCATTTGCACTTTACAGGTGTCTTGAATGTCACATGATGTACTTTTCACACTGGGAACCAAAATCTAGATGGTGCTTTTTTGTTTGTTTTGTTTAAATCTAGTTAAGGTATACCATAGGTCAACTTAGTAGCTTTTCCTTTTGAATCAAAGTAAAAATACTAAATGCTATTCACGAATTCATCCAGACTTGTATGTGCACTTTAGACTTATATTCATTATACATCAGCATGAAAGAAACTTGCTATGAATTTATCTGCCAGAATTGCTGAGGAAAAAAGAAAAAAAGAAACCTGCAATGACTAGCAACTGTTAACTCAGCAGAGAAGAGAAGCTCACAAAATTATTTTAATCACTAAATTTTTGTGTATTTCAACTTCTGTATTTGTTAATCCCCTCCTGTGTCTCAGGAACTGTCTTGAGTAGGTGTCACCAAGGCCACTGGGAAAAGCCAGCAGCAACAAGTCTACTGGTCACAGGTTGTCCAGTGTCCAAATAACCTCTTAGGCTTATTTCTCTCCTAAAATAAAAACACTTACCATTTTTATTTAATGCTGATTTTTTTTCCTAATTATATTTGCTCAAAATAATTCTATAGCTGTTCTGCAGTGTTTCTAAAGTAGAAAGAGACAAGAAAATGCTTTTTTATTAAAGACTGAGTTGTCCACCAGAATCTGTTCTCGTGGACTATACAACTGTAAGCATAGTGTTGCAGCTAGGCACATAGCCACTTTGATAGGGACTACATTTCCCATCACTCTTGCTGTTGCATGTGGCCTAGTGGCTAATTCTCGCTGAGGGGGTATAAGTTAAAGGAATGTATGCCATTAAGACAGTAGGTCTGTCCCTTCCCACCAGCTGGAACTCAGAGAAGATGGTGGCCTTGCTGGGCCATACAGATAAGTGCACAGCACCCTGAGTGGCCAAGCCATGCAAGAGGAGGGACCTGGGTTCCTGGGTGCTCTGAAGAGCAGAGCTGCTGGTCAGCTTAGAAACCCAGGTTATATATGAGAGGAACATAGCTTAGAAAATGCCTTTGGGCTAAGCCACTGTGTCTGCAGACTAGCCCCCATTGGCATACCAGGAATCTGCAAAGCTCTTAGAGAAGAGAGGTGTTAGAACTAACTGTAAAACATTGTTCTGAAGCTACTCCTTGTAGCTCCTGTTCACTGTAAGGAAAAGGATAGAGATCGTTCTGCCTCACTCTGTCAGACTCCCAACTCCTGGGAACTTGCTCCTGAGGGGCAAAGTCCTGTTTATTCACATACGCTTATCAAACAGATATTTCTTGTCCCTTTTGGGAAAGTGTGTGTGTGTGTGTACAGTAAGAGTAAACACAAACACATCCTAACAGCAAGGAGAAGTGGAAGCAAAAGGAGTTACTAAATCAATAAAAATGTTTGAGATATCCCCAGTCGGGCTTTCAGAGTGAGACGTGGTCATTAAGTGCCCGAGGCATCCTGTATGGTTTAGCTGTGTTCCTTTATTGCAGTTAAGGAGGAGTGTGTGTCATTGAGAGAAGCTGGCATTCTAAGGCAGCTTTAGGGACCTGGAAAGTTTGCCTACAGGGAGCAGGTGCTGTTCGTCATTGCCCATCTAAATTTCAATAAGAAAAGAGGAAATACATTGGCTAGTTAGCATTGATATGTCCTTGCCTAGTGTAGCAAAACTGTGTTTGTTATTTAAAGTAATTAAAAAGAAGGGCAGATGTCAGTACAATATATTTTACTTTTAGTGAACAGCTCCATTCTGGCAGGTAAGAAGACCAAAGGTGGTCTCGAGTTCACTTGGCACCTTTTCTAAGGCATTGGCCCAGGAACCACCAAACCAAGCCACGCCGTGGATTAATTTCAAAATTTCAGTCATTTTCAATCAGCATTTTCTCATTTTATTTTAGATGTTTCTACATGAGAATGTAATTACTCATGTAGAGTAGAAAGTCAGGAATAGTTATAATGCATAACAAGGAAAAGCATAAATATCTTTATGGTCTTGATTTCAATAAACATTCATTGATTGCACAGTCACTGCACAGCAGAGATGAATATGTGCTCGGTGCCCTCTGCTTATCTGCAGTCTAGCGTGGGTGCAAGGGAGTAGGGGACCTGCAGTTACAACTAAGTGCTACTATAACCAAATGCACAGGTTGTAGGAGAACAACTCATTCAGGTGGGTTCTACTATGTTTACTGCTGTAGCTCTCACCCTGTACAGCTCCTGGCACATAGAGGCAGCCAATAAACGAGAGAGGAGCCATTGTAGAGAATGTACACTTGGGCTGCCTTGGAAAAATAGTAGGAGTTAGACTTTTTGTAGGAAGATGAGAAGGGGGAGGCAGGTGTGAATGAAGGAAGGAGGGTGCGCAGGTTCAGCCCCTCCCTGGTAAACAGTGCCTATGGAGACCGTCAGGTGGCAGGTGTCTGAGAGCAGGAGGAGAGCTGGAGATGGGGGAGTTGAGACGGAGGCAGGGACAGGAATGCTTTGCTAAGAATCTTGGACCTGATCGTGTAGGCAAAGGATGGAGAGAGGAGAGCTTGAGTGGAAGTTCAAGTTGGATTGTTAAAATTATCAAAGGAGAAGATAGTGAAAAAACTTTCTAAACTATAAAGTGCTATGATCAGACCAGTTAGAAAAGGCGGGCTGGTGGCGTTTTTTTGAGTGAAGGTGCCATGTTGGGCTCATCTACGTTCTTTCCTTTCATCTCTGTCTGAAATACTCATTTTATAGGTATTCTGTGCCCTGGAAAGGTTAAGCAACTTGTCCAAGTTCACACAGGGAGCAAGCAGCACAGCAGGGAGTTAAACCTTTTCCTCCATGGTGGGAAAAAGTGACCATCCATGCGAGAATAATGAGACATCAGGGATGATGTGACCTGAACAACAGGTGTCTGGATGTGTGTCTCTAGGAAGTTTGGGGTGGCCAGCTGGCTGTGTGATGCTGTCAGACACTAGCTTGGTGTGACACTGCAAATGGCAGTCTCTATGTCTGCAGATTAGTGTTCACAGTACCCATTTATCAGGGTGTCGAGGAGTAAGTGAACGTGCCTCTGAAACAGTTTCTCATGCACGAATGACAGCACTGTACATCTATGTTGTGCCACCCACCATCACCCGACCTCACAGGCTAGATCAGCACTCCTCACTGTGTGGTCCTTGGACCTTGGCTTCCCATTACCTGGGACCCCACCCACACCTACTGAGTCAAAAACCTGGAGGGCAAAGCCACCAACACCGTGTTAACAAGCCTTCTGGTGTCTGGTGCTCACTAAGGTGTGACCCTGCTGGAGCCTCACTCTCCAGGATTTGGACCTCAGAATTACGGGTCCAAGCACTCACCTGTGTCTGCTTTTCCACAGGCAAAGACTGGAGAGACCAAGACAGGATTTGAGAGCCAGAAGTTGGCTAGGAGATGCTTATAGTTTACTTAAAATCTACACTTCATTGTCACTTGCTCACGGCCAGGCAGCTGGATGGAGCAGATCAGGGTTAGGACCGGGGCCTTCTAGATTTTTCTCAAAACCCCAATATTTCTCTTACTGCACTCTTAGGGCACTGTCCCAAGCCCCAGGCACCTTTCAAAAGAGTCATGCAGAAATCCTAGCACACTGGTGGAGTCATGGTGCCATATGACACTCCAAAGAGCTAAAGGAGAGAGGATGGATATATGGCCCACTAAGTGGTGAGATTCAGCACCAGATGCATTGTAGGAGATCCTTTCCCTCTTCACTGTACTCCCTGCTGTTGGAGGAGTGGGCAGTGTGGTCTGAAATGCAGGCAGGTTCCCAAGTCTGGAAGCCTGTGTTCCCGTGAAGAGCACAGGTAATCCACATGTGAACATCTGAATGGTTCAGAAGGTGATCGGAGCTGTCAACAAAAATGTGATAGGAACTCGAGGTTTTCTTGACACTGGATGGTCAGAGAAGGCCTCTAAAGGTGGCATGTGAGAGACCTGAGCTATAAGGACTCATTCAGATAGAGATCCGAAAGTGCACAGTGGCTGAGGTGGGGGCAGAGTGTACGCAAACATGGCAGGAGGCTTGGAGGGGCAAGGTGGACCCAGAGTACATTGGGTTGCAGGTTGAAATGAGGTAATGGAGGGGGTGGAAGTCCAGGTCTCCAAGCCATAAGACCAGGAGTAGTGAGCATATCACTTGTTCAGGGACCAGATGAAAGAAAGGTCTCCAAAGCAGCTAGCATGAAATCGGGGGACAGTGAGGCACTGTCTGTGGAAGGAACTGGGCACAGATGGGCCTGGAGCAGTGCCAGGATCCCCCAGCCTCCAGCCTGGCCTTGGCAAAGCAGGGGCCATCTCTGCAGGTCTCTTCCAACATCCCTCAGTGATCCAGACCTGGACAGAGGACTCTGAACCCAGCCTTCATTCACCTGCTTCTTCAGTGCTGACACTGCCTAGTAGGCAAAGCTAATTTTTGTCTGATTCTGTTTTTCATTGGACAATTATGAACTTTAAATCTGCCATGCCCCTGGAGTGGTTTCCACAGTCAAAATGGCCTTTGCTCATGAGCCCAGAATGAAAAGCATTTCTCTTACAAAATTCCCAGCTGAGTTCTCCCACTGAGGAAGGTTGGACAGAGACCCGGGATGGGAAGAAGTTGCTGGTGAGATAACACCATGAAGGATCAGACTCCACCCATCTTTTCATTAGTCAGCTTTATATCACTGTAAGTGGTGCCTGAGATAATGAACTTATAAAGAGGAAAGGGTTATTTTGGCAGTTTTAGAGGATGTAGCCGTGATGGATTGGCCCTATTGCTTTGGGCCTGTGCTGAGGCACATTGTGCTAGGAGCACATGTAGAAACAAAACTGCTCACCTCGCGTCCTGGGAACAAACACAAAGAAAAGGAGGAGGGGCTTGGAGTCCCACAGTCTCTTGCAAGGGACCACCTCCCAATGACCACAGACCCTCCCCGCAAAGCCTCATCTCCCAAAGGTTCTCCCCAGTAGCACCACCCTGAGAACCAACCCTTTAATGCACGAGCCTTTGGGGTACATTTAAGATTCAAACTCTAGCACCATCTTGAACTGAAAAACACAGTAGGAAAAATATGACCTTCCTTTGCAAATACAATGGATATCAATGCACTGTTAATTTCTCCTTCAAACATAAGTTCAGAATTCCAAGATGGCGGCTAGAGGGAGGAAGCAGAAAGCGACCCTCCTATAGTGAAATCTTGGAGAGACGCTGGAGACACACTTTGCAGGCATAATCACCGAGAAAAGGCATAACTTTGACCCCTCCACACCTCCAGCCAGTGCAGAGAATCTCCACTTCACGTTAAACGGAGAACCGAGGAGGCCCCCGGGGCCGCCAGTGGCCGGCGCCCATACGGCTTGGGAAGACGCGGACCAGGTGAGCTTGCGGTACCGCGGTTCCCCACAGACAAGCCTGGGCCAGAGCAGCATAGCCCCCTGGACAGACTGACCTCCACCCGGGAAAAAAAAGAGAAACTGAGTACTAAGCAATAAGAACAGTTAAGACACGCTGGAAAGAGGGTGGGGCGCCCTGAGCGCTGAAGATTGGGGGAAGGGATCCTTCCCGGACTGTAAATAAACGAGCCGGGCGGCCGGAGAGGCTCTGGCGGGAGGGGCGCGCCCAGCAACCAGGAGCGGGACGCTTGTGAGAGGAGGGAAGACCCACTTCCCATGAACTGTAAATAAACACGCAGGCCTGACAACGGGGCAGTGCACCTTTCCCAGTGCTTGGAAAGGGAAAGCCTGTAGCAGAGGCCCCGCACGGAGAACTCTGAGCAAACAAAGCCTGTGGGACCAGCGCTCACCCCAGAGATCTGCATAAATAACGCCGCCAGCTACAGGCTGAGAGCAGCAGGCAGGCAAGCCACAGTTGCAGATACCACTCTCAGAACTGCCTCCAGACGCTTTTTTTCTTTTTCTCCCTACCTTTGATGAGAGAACAACCGAATTACACCTGCAAGCCGAAAAACTTACTGAAACTGTATTGCATTTGAACTGGGACACTTGGTGGGGCTTTTTTTTTTTTCTTCTGTGTGTGTGTGAGTGTAGTTTTGTTCTACTTTATGCATCCCCTTTGATGAGACAACTACAGAACAACATCTGAGGCACCAACTCCAGGACTGGAGATTGAGACGGACATCCAAATTATTAAGACTGAAACTGCATTGCATATAAACTTGGAAGTTTTTTGGTT